TGTTTACCATGTGAGAGAAGCCACGAGGTACAACAAAACCCACTACAAGAGTTTATTAAGGGAAGGAAATAGGAGTGTGCATAGGCCTATGGAATGACCCTGCAGGAAGAGAGGGAAGGAATAAGTGGAACCCTCTTTTATAGGCCCCCTCCCCAGCACATGCACATATGGACTTAGGTAGCTATGCCACGCATGCACATAGATTACGTGACCATGCAGCACACAGATTAAGTAGGATGTAAGGCCCTAGGATCACTAAGCATCTTGCCTGGCTACTGGACAGCGCATGTGCGGTCATGTAGCTGGGGGAGTGGCTAGGAATTCTAACACTCTAGCCAGGTCCATACCCAAGTCCCTGGGAAATGGCCCCAAGTCACAGTTTGCAGAAGCTTAAGAAAGAAAACCAATAATTTTTGCATTTCCCATCAGGTCCAATCAGAGGCAAGCATACATCCTGACGTACCTCCAGCCTACATCCAATCAGAGGTAAGTGTACATCTTGACATAGTTCCTGCCTATGAACACCCTCCCCCCGACATGTGATCAAGCACATCTTGTGGAGATGGGTCAAACAAACTTGTTTAGGGGAATGAAAAACTCGTGGCTTGTTACCTCCCACAAACAACAGCCTCCAGCCTTTCAGGAACTATCTGTTCTTGGGCAAGGGGCTTGTAGAGCAGAAATATTTTTGTTTCATGAATCTCTAAGGCATAGTAATTAAAACTTAAAATATAACTTTGGCTTTCACAAAGAGCCCCCGAACTGGATATTCAATACCAAGTAGTCAGCCATGAAATTACATACATACAAGTAACATTATACAGAATAAGCAGGTTGTATTTATATTTTTAGAAATATATACACACACACTTGCAGAGACTGAACCAACAACCAGGGAGCCTGCATGAGACTGACCTAAGCACTCTGCATATGTGTTACAGTTGTGTCGCTTGGTCCTCTTAGGGGACTCCTAACAGCTTGAACAGGGGCTGTCTCCAACTCTTTTACTGGCTTTAAGGATGCTACTTCTCATTCTGGGTCACTTTGCCCAGCCTTAACACATGGGGAGGAGCCAAGCATGGTGGTGCACGCCTTTAATCCCAGCACTTGGGAGGCAGAGGCAGGTTGATCTCTGTGAGTTTGAGGCCAGCCTGGTCTACAAAGTGAGTTCCAGAACAGCCAGGGCTGTCGCACAGAGAAACCCTGTCTTGAAAAACCAAAAAATACATGTGGAGGTGCTCAGTCTTACTGCGACTTGATATGCCTATGAGTTTTATTGATACTCATGGGAGACCTGCCCTTTTCTGGATGGAGACAGAAGAGGAGGGGATTGGGAGATAGGAGGGGAGAATAGGGGAGAGGGACTTGGAGAGGAGGAAGAGGGAGAGGCTGAGGCTGGGAGGTAAAATAAATAGATGAATAAAAACATGTACATACATATATACATATGAAACAAAGAAATAGAAGCATAAATTTGAGAGAGAGAGAGCAAGGGGGTGTTACATAAGGGTTGAAGAAAGGAAAGGAAAGGGAGGAATGATGTAAGTATACTTTAATTAAAAAAAATAAACAAAAACCTAGAAGGGTATTTTTTTTTAATGAGTTAATCTTTAGGCCAGGTTGGTGCACACCTTTAGCTCCATTAATTAGAAGGCAGAGGCAGATTGATCTCTGTGAGTTTGTGGTCAGCCTGGTCTACAGAGTGAGTTTTCTGGCATTAAAGGCATGTGCCACCGTTCAGGCCCAAGAATATATATTCTTACTCTCAGCTGCAGTTATGTTTGGGGATTGTAGGGTGAAAAGGCCAGCCAAAGAACCCCACCCTGGCGCTGAAAAACCAGAGCCAGTGAAAGAAACACACCCTGGCCCTGAAACCCACAGCCAGTGAAAGGAACACTTTAGCCCTGAACCCACAGCCAGTGAAAAAAAACATACCCTGGCCCTGGGACCCGAGCCAATGAAAGAAACACTCTAACCCTGAACCAAGAGCCAGTGAAAGAAATACACCCTGATCCCAAAACTAGAGCCAAAAGGCTAAAATGGGACAGTGAAAGAAACACACTTTGGCTCTGAAAAACTCTAGCTCTGACTAATGAAACCAACCAATCCCTGAGCAGGAAAACTAATCCTTGAGCAGTAATCTTCTCTCTGGAGAAACTCCACCCCTAGGAAGCCCTATATAAGCCCCTCTGCCTGTTCAGTTATGGGCTGTGCTTTCCCACCCTGGTAGAGACAACCACTCTCCTGGACTCCTCCTTCCCAAATAAATCTCTTTCTCAAGAGTTTTGAGTGAAGATCTTTTGTTGGCATGGCGCAGAATCTTTGCCAGGACATTCCCTTGCGGGGCTGGAGCCAGAGGAGATTGCTACATTTCTACACGGGTTTCCCCTGCAGTAGAATGAAGCAGAAGTAACATCTTGGGCCTGAGCTAAGAAGAAACGGATACCTCTGCTGGGAAGCCCCCTTAAAGGGAGGGGGGCAGAGCAGAGCAGAGCTCAGTTGTAACGGAATGGTACTCTCTCTGAAGGGAGCAGGATGGCTACATCCTGCAGGGAGACCATCCCCCACCGCACCTTTCTCCTCATAGCTGTAGGTATCCAGGATATCTCCCTCCACAGCTGTCCGTATAGCCTGACTTCCCAACCAATCAGGATACCTTTCCCTCCAGAGCTGTAACACTTGGAGGGTTCATTGCAAAAACCATCCCTCAGATGCTCCATGCTCCTCACCCCTCACAGCTTCCTGTCTCTGTTTGATTTCCCTGGAAGCACTTGCTGCTTTTGTGGAATGGGTTGTGAAGCCCTGCTCCTGTTGTGCCCTTGAGGACTGCTGTTCTGCCCTTTTCTCTAGTGGAGCCACTTCTGCCTTTAGGTGGTTGCTGTAGTTTGAGTGTCCGCCTCCATTCTGTGTGCACATGTGCGCGCACTTCTGCCTTTAGGTGGTTGCTGTAGTTTGTCCTCCTCCATTCTGTGTGTGTGTGTGTGTGCGCGCGCGCGTGCGCGCGTGAAGAATCATGAGCCTAAATGAGGGCTGGAGAGATGGCTCAGAGGTTAAGAGCACTGGCTGCTCCTTCAGAGGTCCTGAGTTCAATTCCCAGCACCCACATGGTGGCTCACAACCATCTGTAATGAGATCTGGTGCCCTCTTCTGGCCTGCAGACATACATGCAGGCAGAACACTGTATACATAATAAATCTTTTTTAAAAATTTCAAAAAAAAATGTTTAAAAAAAAAAACCATGAGCCAAGCCTTTAATCTAAGCACTAGGGAAGACACAGAAGCAGGTGGATCTCTGTGAGTTCGAGGCCAGCCTGGCCTACAGAGTGAGTTCCAGGACAGCCAGGGCTAGAGAGACCCCGTCTTTAAAAAACAAAAAAGGAGTGGTGGCATACACTTATAGTCCCAGCATTTGGGAGGCTGATTAAGTTCAAGACCAAGCTAGGCTACATGTTAAAACCACTGTTCAAACAAAACAAATTTCCCACTGTACAAAAAAAGGGCCAGGAGAGCATTCACCCTATTAGCAATGATAGCAATATTATCACAGGAGTGGGTTAGTTGTGAGCTATTTATTTCTATATATTGGTGTTTTGCCTGCTTGTGTCTGTGCAGCACCTGTGTGCCTGGAACCCTCAGAGGCTAGAAGAGGGTGTTGGATCCCCGGAACTGGAGTTAAAGACAGTTGTGAGCCACCATGTGGGAGCTAGTAACCAAACCTCAGGTCCTCTGCAAAAACAATAGGTGTTCTTAACTTCTCAGCCATTTCTCCAGCCCTAGTCATGAGCTCTTGATAAAGTTTTTATTGTTTACCAGACATGGTAGAGGATATCTACAATCCCAGGAGCCTGAGGCAGGGGGATTGCTGTTTGTGGTTGCTGGTAGTTACATCATGGCAAAATTCAGGAAGCAAAGAACAGAATTGAAGCAAGTAGGCTACAACCCTCAAGGACCATCTTAATGTCCCTTCTCTGCCAGCCATGCTGTTAGGAAATAATTTCAGTGTTGCACGAAGGAACACATACCGTCAAAGTAATTCAACGAAGGACTTGTGTTTTTGTAAAAACAGGTGCACCACAACCCAAATGGGGCTGAGTACACATGGACAAGCCCTCCTGTCCTTTATCCCAGACTCAGGTCATGACTGATTTCATTCGTGGGCTCAACTTTACAATCTGATTGGCTAGTTGGCACAAGGGGGAAGAGGATGCCCGAGGAATAAGGCCCTAGTCAGGACCACCACCTTTGATAAGAAAAACAAAAAAAGCTCCCACAAAGCACCTGTACCAACCACTAGGGGACCAGCTACTCAGACACAGCCTTTGGGGACACTGTAGTTTCAAACGATAACCAGTGGTTTTCCTGGGATAGTTTAGAATATACACATTTTTTACCACTTCATAAACTTAGACTCTAGTCACCTGCCTAACTGTAACTGCCCAATATTCTAGATCTTCCCCCCCCCCCCCCATTATTCCAGTGTATGAGGGCCATGACACCACAGTGTTGAGGACAGTGCTGTCTCCTTTATTGCAGGTGCTAAAGATTGAGCTCAGTCATCAGACTCACACAGGAAGTGTCTAGATGACTTTTTCTTTTTGAGACAGGGTCTCTTGTAGCCTTGGTTGGCCTCAATTCAGAGATCCACCTGCCTCTGCCTCCTGAGTGCTGTGAACTAAAGGCGTGTACCATAACACCCAACAATCACTTAATTCTCATCAGTCTTTAGTAATTACAAAAGTACTCCAGCCCCACCACCGCCTCCTGCACCCACACCCTCACCTAGGAGGGTGACTCTGCACCTACAGACTGTCTATTCTCTCACCGGGCCAACAGCTGTCCTACCTCCATTCACAACCTCGCCCTGGCCAGCACCCTAGGAGCCATTCTGCCCAGACTCCCTGCCACCAAAAGCACACTGACACTTATCTTAGGGTTTCTATTACGGTGATAAAACAAAATTCTATTAGGTGATAAAACAAAATACCGTGACCAAAAGCAACTTGGGGGAGAAAAAGGTTTATTTCATGTTCCACTTCCAGTAACAGTACATTGCCAAGAGAAGTCAGGGCAAGAACCTGGAGGCATGAACTAAAGCAAAAGCCACAGAGGAGCGTTGCTTACTGGTTTGCTCCCCATGGCTAGCTTGGCCTGCTTTCCTATATAACCAGGACCACCAGCCCAGAGGTGGCACTGCCCATAAAGAACTGGGCCCAAAAGAAAATGTACCAGACTTGCCCACATGCCAATCTACTGGTTTTCTCCTCAGTTGAGGCTCCCTCTTCTCAGAGAGAGAACTCTAGTCTGTGTTAAACTGACATAAACTAGTCAATATACCACTACATCCCAAGCCTCTGCCACCAGCTGGCCCACAGGCGGCCATGTGACCCAAGGCACATCCTGTGGACCTGGGACTCAGTTTTGTAGCGCTGGAGCTCTGGTCCAGAGACATGCCTGACCGGATCTGATTCTCCCAAGAATCCTGTGGGTTCTTACATTGCCAGGAGCTTGTGAACACAGAAGCAGAAGTCAAGGCTTTTTGTTCTCATGGCCACTGGAAATACAGGTGGGTAGGAAGAGGTCAGTAGGGTGCCTCACCCCAATCTCTACTCCCCTGATTCTGGAGCCTTCAGAAACATGTACACACACACACACACACTCACAAAACTTGTGCATAGATCCCCTTTATCCCTCCCAGGATCTGGAGGGCACTGTGCTACTTAAGGATGATGCCAAAACATCCTGTTGGCACACAACTGGAGCCCTCGATATGGCTGTGTGGTGCAAGAATGTGTAGATCTCATGCAGGAGACCCACAGTCTGTCACCTAGGTGCCCAGGGAGGAAGCCGGCAGGGGCAAGGCGCTCAGGAGAGGCCCGCACGCTCCAGGTCCTGGGGCAGCACCCGGCCCTTCTTGCGGGCCTTCTGCAGCCGCTGCTCGGCCCGCGCGGCCTTCTTCTTGCGCAGGTTCTGGCGTCGCCGGTCCTGCCGCTGCTGCATCTTCTCCACCACGTGCTCCGAGCGCTTCTCCCACCGGCGCTGGCGCTGCGCCTTGCGCTTCTCCTTGCGCTTCAGGGCTTCCTGCAGCAGCTGCTCGTTGTCACGGATCTTCACACCCTCCGCCTTGTACAGCAAGTTCGTCCACTTCATCTTGGCCTCCAGCTCCCGGGCCTTGCCTGCGTCCTGGTCTCGCAGCTCCTCCAGCCGGTCCTGCCGCGCCTGCAGACGCTCCAGCAGCTGCCTGTAGTTCCTGCCTGTCAGCGGCGTCAGGTTCCCTTTCACCTTCTGCCGCTTCTCCTTCTTCCGCTGGGCTTTGCTGGCCGGCTCGTCTTCAGTCACTTCCACCTACAGGTAAAGCACATCAATGAGATGGCACACCGATCTCACCAGCGGCACAGACCAATGACTTCTGTTCCCTTAGAGAGGAGTCACCAGCATGCACCTGCACCATCAGCAAGGTGCAAAGTTGGCCCAAAGGCACCCAGCCCAGACAACGCCCACCTTATTAAAGATCAGGCCCGACTCCTGCGGCTCCTTGCAGGCCACTTCTGGGGGGGCCTCGGCTGGCTCCTCCTTTTTCTCAGCCTTTGCAGCCTTCTCCTTTGCTCGAAGCTCTTTCCGCTTCCTCTTCTTCCGTTCCCTCTCCTGCTTCCTCCGCTGTCTTTTCTCTAGAGTGGCAGCAGACAGCTCCTTGGTGCTGCCCTGAGGGTAAAGAGAAAAGGTGGGGGTTCACTCATTAGGGTTTTTTCAATCTCGAAGCCCTCTGTCTGGCACATGGCTGAGATGAGAGGAAATCCTCACGCAGGCCACAAGTCCATGGCGTCCATATTTCACCAGCATATAACCTGTTACCCAGGTGTGAATAGCACCAGTGTGATGAGGAACCCCTAGAAAGGATCATGGGTCCAGTTCCCAGGCCCCCTCAGCATACCAGAGCACCTCATCTTGCGTGTGGTCATCCACTGTCCTAGAATTCAGAACTTAGGTTGGGTTTCTAGGATAGAGTGCCAGTCCTAACCACTGTAAATTCTGCTCACGACAGACAGGCTGAGTGCTCTTTGTACCCCTTCCTGCGGTAGCCAGAGAGAGCACTGTGTATGTGACCAACTCAGGCCTGTGCTGCAGGATAGGGGCCTTGAGCCTTGATCCCCTTAGGAACCTGGAGTCAGTAGCATACATTGGGAGAGTGAGAAGTTAAAACTCAAGAACAGAACCTTAGAAATCGGGGTGCGGGAGGGTGGGGAGGTGCGACAAAGCACGGTAGCCAGCACCATGTAGCACTAAGTCAGGTCACCTCACTTGTGGACACTGACCTTTAGAGGGACAATTCAGGCTATACTCTATCCATGTGGCATCAGTGGAGGCAGTTCCCCAAAGGAAGGAGGTCATGCTCCTCTGAGGGACAGAGCCTTGAGGAGGCAGATGACTCTGGGGACTGAGGTACTCCAAGAAAGGAACTATACCTGCTACCTCAACCAAGAGGTGCCCTGTTGTGGAATATCAGTTTAATGATACAAAGATGTGTTGCATTCTTTTATGTTGCATTTGTTTAACTCTGTAAAGCTGTGTTTCTTTGCCTGTCTAAAACACCTGATTGGTCTAATAAGGAGTTGAATGGCCAATAGCAAGGCAGGAGAGAGGAACATGCAGGTCTGGCATGCAGATAGAATAAACAGGAAGAGAAGAGGGGGAGCAAAAAGAGGAGAACACCAGGGGCCAGCCACCCAGCCATACAACCAGAGTAAGAAGAGATATATATATAGAACAGAGAAAGGTAAAAGCCCAGAGGCAAAAGGTAGATGGGATAATTTAAGTTAAAAAAGCTGGCTAGAAACAAGCCAAGTTAAGGCCAGGCATTCCAAAGTAAGAATAAGTCTCTGAATATTTAATTGGAAACTGAGTGGTGGGCCCCAAAGAGAAAGAGTAAAATAAAAATCGAACTACACCGCTCCACACCCCACGCTGGCACAGAAATGGGGAGGGAAAACTCTACGAGTCTGCTGCAGGTGCTCAGGAAGACACCCCATTTACCTGGCCCCGGGCCAGCTGGATCTTCTCATGCAGCCGCTGTCGCAGGAAATCCAGTGCAAAGACAGAATCGGGTGCTGTGACTTGGCTCTCTGCGGGGAAGGAGACTAGGCTGGAAGAGGGGCTCCCCACCACCATTCCTCCCTCCCTCCTTCCCCAGTGCCACTCGTGGGGTTACAGGCCACCATTAAGTTCCAACCCAGCTCCTTTAGGACAGATAACAAATGCATCAGGAGGCTGGTCACTATGACATTAGAAAAACAGTGTTTGTTATCACCTTGTCATCTGGCTGTCATGTGGCACTGGACCATCATGCACTGTCTTCTATTCTGCTCCTATGGTCTCCCTCACTGAAAAGTCTCACATCATTACCATAAACCTGTTGGTACCCTTGAGCAGTGGGGACATTTGCCTCCAGGTCCCATCCCAGCTCTGACCACGCATGCTTTGGAGCCCCTCACCTTCAGGAGACTCCGGGGCGCTGGAGTTCTTCTCTTGTTTGGAGACTGTTGGTTTCTTAGCCCTAGAGGAGGTGGGAGCCGTCTGCCCTACGGGCTTAGTCTTGTGTTCTGTGGCTTTCTGTCCCTGCTCCTGAGATTTCTTTTGTGTTTTCTTCCTTTTCTTTTTTGGGGGCCCGGCAGCTTCCAAGCGTTTTGTTCTGACAGCTGAAATGCAAAACAAGCTGAATCCCTTCTCTCTGACCAGAACAACAAAGATCCTGCAAAGGCACCGATCCCAGTGATGCAAAGGACCAGGTGGCTAAGCCAGTGCCACCCGTCCAGAGCTTAGTGCCACCAACTGCCTGGGCAGCAGGCGACCACACATCTGTAATCCCTGCATTTGGAAGCTAAGGCACTAAGACGGCTGAGAGTGTGAGGCCAGGCTGGGCTACACAGCGACACCTTGTCTCAGAAAACAAAAATAACTAACAATTTCTTAAGAAATCTAAACTACACTCACACACCTGACCCAGCAAATAGGTGTATGAGGAATAGACCACAAAGCCAGGTTTCAGGTTGGTCATTACCACATTATCTAATTATAAACACCCACTTCCAGGAACAAATGATGGTCCTGCTACGTACGACACTTTCTCCTGACTACCCCAAACTGAACACTTGGCTCATGTATAGCAGTTTCCTCCTGGATAAAACCTTCCATCTTGGGGGGAAGCTCCTTCAGCTCAGGAACTAAACACCAGGGCTTCAGGAAGCCCTGGAACTGACCAGCTTCACTAACCCCTTCTGCCCCAAGCATATACAAGAGGAAGGCCAAGTGACTCTGAGTCAAGCCAGACCACATGGAATAGACACTCTCCAACCTGCTGAGCTGCCTACAAGTAGTGCAGTGCACTCCAGGTTTCTAGCTTTTGAGAGCCATCACCCATACTGGGGTGGGCTTTGGTGATACCGTAGTATTCATACTTTGGCCTGTCATCGCTGTGTCTGCAAGACTGATGGGCTCATTAAAATTGCAGTGGTGTAGAAAGGCCAGAATGTTGCAGGTCCAGAGGACAATTACCTTATCTCAAGTTAGCTTTAGTCCCATGAATAATCCATTTCTTGCCCACCTCTATATCTGTGACTAATAGATAAAAACCTTTTTGAATCTATTAACTTAGCAGTACACGCCTTTAATCCCAGCACTTCTGGAGATGGAGGCAGAGGCAGGCGGATCTCTGAGTCAAGGACAGCCTGGCCTACAGAGCTCCAGGACAAAGCTACACAGAGAAACCCTGTCTCAAAAAAAAAAAAAAAAAAAAAAAAAAGTCATCAACATCTGGGCCTAGAAAACTTTCCCACATCTTGCTATAACTACCTGATGTACGCAACAATGTATTTTAAACTTGCCTTGGTTTTCTTTGTTCTGTAAAACTTAAAGAAACTGCTTCAAGAACATTTTGTGTTGGAAAGTGGAATTTGGGGCAACCAAAATCCGTGTTCACAGGCCACGGTCATTCAAAATGGGCTCCAGAATAAGGTGAGGGCTGTGAATTTCTGGAATTCACGGTGATCTGCCTTGCTTCTGCTTGCCAAGCATTGGTATTAAAGGCATGTGGACCATGACTGCCACTGCCCCCGCCCCAAAAGACTCATTCACTCATTTTACGAGTGTTGTAAGTATGTCTGTCTGTGTATCATAACCGTGTCTGTTGCCGTTGGAGGACAGAAGAGCGTATAAGATCCCCTGGAACTGGAGTTAAGGAACTGTTGTAAGCTGCCACATTGATGCTGGGAACCGAATATGGGTTTTATACAAAAGTAACAAGTGCTCTTAACCGCTGAGCCATCTCTCCAGTTCTTTTTACTTTCTGGGAGGGTTTCCTGAAGTTGCCCACGCAAAGGTGAACTTATCAATGTATACAGCCCAGACAGGCCTGCGGGCCTTTACCCTCCAAAGCCTCAGCCTCCCCACGAACCAGGCCCAGCGGCAATGAACTCTTTACGATGAAAGATTTACTTTTACTTCTAACGATGAGGAAATGTTAGCATTTTAAACTAAACGTCCAAGAATGGAGTGTACGTGCTCTCAACGCATGAAACACACACGGACAAGAACTGAAAGACACCACCAGCCGGTGAGAAAAGTCGACGACCTCTTCATACTTTACTAGCGAGCACGTTTTTCGTTCCGTTCGAGTCTGGTAGTTCCCTAACCACCTTCCCCTCCATCAGGGCCCAGCGCCCTCAGGAGCGGTAGCTGTCCCAGCGACTACCGGCTCACTCTTGGATCACGCGTGGAGGGTCCGGATCCAAGCTAGGACAGCGGCCCCGTGCGACGGCATCCACTCCCAAAGGCTGCTCGGGTGGGCTGCCTTACCCCACTCGCTCCTCCGCCGCTCGGGGCCAGGCTGTGCGCAGATCTTCTTGGCCAAGTTCTGCAGATAGGTATCCTTGGCTTGCAGAGAGGCCATGGCTGGAGACCACGGCTGACGCCACGCTCGGCGGTTCCCACGGCTCTCTGGCCCACCGGAAGCAGCATGCATGCAGGCACGAACAGCCGAGCGTTCGATTGCCGAGCCCGACCACGCCGGAAGTGCCGTGTGCGCAGGCGCCGCCAGGCCAACGCCCGCTATTAGCTCAGGAGCACCGGAAGCCACCCCCCCAAGTATTTGTCTCAGTCCAAACCAGTGTACGCAGCCGCGGCCCACTCAGAGCTCGATTAGCCAGGCCTGAGGGGCCGGCTAGTCAGTCCTTAACCTGGAGGCGTTTCTCTAAAGAAGTTACCTGTAACGTGAGAACGCACCGGTTCGGCCAAGCGTCTGGACTTCAGTCCCGCCCTCCCCGCCTGGCAAAACGGAAGCCATTCTGGCTCCTTCCCTATCATCGGCCTGAAGCCCAGAATTCGGCCCAGCACCCCAGTCACTCACAGCAAAACACCACACACAGCAAAACACAAACAGGTATTAAAAAAAAGTGGGGTGACAACCGGAGACATGAGTATGGCATGGATCCTAGATTACATGCAGCAGCCAGGCATCTCAGTTGTTTCGATGGCACTGGGCCTTTAGGGGTGAAAACCCCTTGCAGGCTTGCAGATGGCATTGGAATGGCTTATATAGAGAAAGTGGGGGGAAAAGCGAGGCCCTAGCAGGGCCTGAACAGGCCTTGCTATACACATGGCTACGTAGAGCTTTTTGCGTGGGTCTTGGTCACTCACAAGTTAATGCTCGTGGGGAAAAAAAAGGTGATACAGAAGTTACATCACTAGAAAATCATCCGTCTCTCTGGGAGCAGTGCCCCCAGCAGCACAAGCTGGAGAACGGCGATTTTTGCTTTTAAATGTGAAGGACAGAACTGACCAAACAGAATAAAACACAGTGTCTTTCATTAAGATTTTTGGAAGCCCTTCCAAACCGATGCTTCTAGTGTTCCCCCAAACTCCTCCACCCTGTGACTAAGCTTTCTCCATGACACTTAGGAGCTCTTCCAGCAGTGAACATTGCAGACTTCACTCTGATGGAAAACTCCCTCATTGGGGCAGCGACTTCCCCCTAGCTACCCACTTGTTTTGTGTGCTACCTTCTGTTTGGCTATGTAGGTGCTGGGCCACCTGGTGACCAGCCCATGTTCCTCATGGCTGACTACTTTCGTGAATGAAGCTTGCTCACCGTAGTTATGAGTGACAGGCTGAAGGCCAGTACCATGATTTCTGCATGTCAGTGATAAACCTGGTACAGAGAGGTAATGGGGTCCGAGTTCCTGGTTGTTTCTGCCACTTAATTTCTCAGCCTGTGGTGCTAGACACACCCCTTCCAAGCCCATGCCCACTCCAAGATGCAGATATGACAGCACCAAGCTGGGGTGGCAGAAATGGGTGGCACCAGAGGTACAGGTGCGTCTTATCTGAAGTAATGGCAGATTTTTCGTTCATTTACCAAAATGTCAAGGACCTAGTAGATGCTAGTGTGAGAGGGGTCACCCTGGAGTCCAAGGTTACACAAGGAGGAGGGGCCATTGCTCAAGGAACCCAAGGGCAATCTTGGACTGATCAGAAAAGAAAGATGAACAACACAAAAAAGTAATGTTTTATTCAACAGTTTTATCACAAAAGTAGCAGAATGAAAATGGTGGCAGAACCCAGGAAGATGCCCTGGCTAGCTGCCTCTCAGTCTTGCTAGGATTGTCAGATATGGCACAGACAATTGTGCTCCAGGCACCAGGCAGTGGACAGGGCTCTCGACACAGGAGCCTGAGCCAAGGATGGGTGGCTGGACTTGGCTAAGGTCCACTGAGCACCTCCCAATTCTAAACAACAAGCTGAGGCTGTCTTTCTATCACCAGCCACCCTCCCTACTCAAGGTCCTCAATGGGACAAACCTTCCATCTGCAGTCAGGAAGGTAGCCACTAGAGATGAACATCATTCCCAACTGTCACAGGGAACTGGCCCTGGCCTGGCCACGTCCCTGAGGCTACAGTGCTCCTGATCCCCAAGTCCCCAAGTGGGAGCTGAGACTGACAGGACTTCCTTTCCGATAACTAGGGCCCTGGGGAGGGCTACCCTGAAAGGGTACCCCAAGAGGCTCAGGTGTGTTCTGTGGGGCCAGAGCCACTACCATGGGAGTGGGCAGGGGCTGCAGACTGCAGGGGACCAGCACCAGTCTCCGGGGATGCCAGAAGAGGGGCAGAGAGGCCATCAGCAGAATCTGTGTCGAGGTCCAGCCTCCAGTAAGCTTCACATAGAGGTAGGTCATTAGCTTCGCAGAGACTTGAGCTTTGCCACCACAAGAAACCCCCAGGAGTGACAGGAGCAGGCAGAGGAAAGCCAGGGAGGAGAAAGCAAGACAGACGCAGAGTTAAGAAATGAATATCACCTGACTGCCTCCCTTTCCTCTCCTGTGCTGGCCCCTCGGCTACCAGTTCTAGCCGCCCCTGCATCCAAAGAAAGAAGGCCATGTGACTTAGGCAAGCTCTCCCCATGGGCCACATGTCCTTCCGGACACTTAGGACTCCCCTTGTCCCTGTGGGTTTCCTCCCATCCTGACCGCCCACCCTGTACCAGCAGGGTACTTTACAAAGACCGTGGTGGCAGACCTGTGTCTGTTCCAATTCCAGGGAATTGGCCTAACTAGAAAAAGTCAGGAACAGAGGTCCAGGCATTTCTCTACACACCACTGCTCCAGCCCTATAGCTTCATGCACTCCATTTCCCCGTGTTATACAGGGAAGACCAGAGGTGGGAAGAGAGAAGGATTAACCTCAGCGGTCATGGCAGCGGTTACCTGGAGCACATCTGTTTCCACAGCTGTCTAATATGCACAAGGCCCTGGTCCCATACCTGCCCCCAGCAGTCCCTCTCAGAACTACCCAGAAGAGTAGCATCCCCAAAAGAGTGGAGGGGAGGCAAAGCCAGAATTAGCAAGCAGTGAGTGTATAGGCAGGAGTAGCTGTAGAGAGGGGAAGCTGGGCAGCTGCTGGTGGTGTGGGCATGAAGCTGATAGGGGCAGATGGAACCCACTGGCCCCTGCACAGAAGAGCACTGACATTTAAGGTAATTCACAGGCAGAGGGGCAGCTGCTTTACCATGAGGAATATGGAAAAGGTGACTGCCCAGAGGGGACACAGGTTGTCCCAGAAACCCATGCAGGTGACACAGAGAGACTGAGGCTTTGGAAACCTGATACTCTGGGTTTCTGTCCTAAGCAATTTCATCCCCAGGGTTTCTCTATCAACCTCTGTAGCAGGGCTGAGTCACTATCCAAGACTGATCCACCTAGGAGCCCTTGAAGCGGTAAATGTCCGAAGGGTGGTGACAGGAAGGTGTGAAGGGATTCATCCTGGGTGAGTGGAAAGCTCTGCCTTTTGGGGAGAGAGGATATGGTCCCCTTTGTTTGCTAAGCTGATCAATACTGGGACCAAGGATCGCCCCAGAACTCTCTGGAAAACTTTAGAACTGCTCCAGCTGGGCAGTGACACTGAGTCTAGGATGGGAAAAGCAAGCCCTAGACCACACACCACCCAGTCATGGACACCCGTGGCTCCTGCTGCAGCGTCTGTGCGGCAGGAGCAGCAGATCCACCACTGGGGGAGAACAGTTTGCCTGGGAGAGGGGGCTGCTGGACGGAACCTTAAATTCAAGCTAAGGGGGTGTGAGCAAGGCCGCCATTCTCTAGCCTCAGTTTCCCGAATATTTCATATTGTACTCTTGATTTCTCAAGGCCTCTCTGGTTAGGAAAGTATCAGGTTTCAAGTGGCCCTGAAGAGGACTAGGTGACAGACCCTACCTACTGCTGTCCTCTGGGGCACGCACAGGTCTGATACCAGGAGGCTCCAGGACCATGAGGACATCCAAGCATCTCAAAGCCACCGAGCTTGAGCTCCTTCCCCAGTCCCAGTGTTCACCGTCTCTACACTGTGGAGTCTGACGACACCCACATGGAACTGAATCCCTGGGCTAGCAGTAGGCAGTGGTGTCCCGGAGGCTGGACATAGTTAGAGACCCAGAAGGCCACAAGAGGCCAATCCAGCCTGGGCTGAAATGTCTAGACAGAGATTTACAGCAGTAAAGTGGAGACTGCACTGCCCAGGAGGGCTTCCTTGCCCCCAGGGGTGCCCTTCTCTGGCCTCAGCCGCTGCCACCAAGTCCTGTGATTTTCACCCCACTTCATTGAGGGGAGGCCTGGGCACCAGCTGGTGGCTGGCTGTGACCGTCTGTCCATCAAATGCTCTAGTAAGGAGGGCTGGAAAAGCACAAGGCCCTTGAAGGCCCTCGTTGGACTGGGCAGGCAGCAGGTACCACCTGCGTGCGAGTCCAGCTCTATTTGTACCTGGACGAGTAGTATTCCTCCTCCAGCTCATACAGGTCGATGGAGACCTCGTCCCGCAGGGTGATGAGCTTGCGATCACACTCTTCCTGCAGGGCGCGCAGCTGCTGGTTTCGCTGGTCAATGGCTTCGTTCACAGATGGGAAGTCATTGAGGATCAGGAACTGCTTGAGATCAGATACCAGCTTCATCAGTGACTCGCCAGCTCGGACCTGCCACCATCATAATCAGGGTATGAGAGGAGGCGGAGACGGTGGCCCTGCTCTGTGTAACAGGTGCTGGGCCAACAGTGGGTTCTCTGGAAATCTCAACTTCATAGTCCACAAAGAAAAGTACTAGCCTGCACAGAGCCATCTGTGAGGACAGAGAAGGAACTGGGAAGGCACGATCAGAACCCCCCCCCCTCTGCCGACCACAGGTGGAATAAGTTTGCTTACTTCAAGGAGCTTCCCCTCCCCAACCAACCAGTCACACCATGTACACATCCTGTGCACTCACTCAAAGCCAACAGAAGACTATGCCCTGGGTTTCCTCCTGCAAGGATTCACTGGGGTCTTTGCCCCACACATTGTCATTTGCTGGTACCCTTTGCACAGACACTGGCCTACTGGGCTTTCCCTGTAGGATCAAGAGGGGCTCACATTTTACATATGACAAAAGGCCGTTTGCCTTTCCGTTTACAACCAGCCTTGGGGAACCTTCATGTCAGCAAGAAGGGCTGCCTTCCTCCTGACTACTGTCTACTTGCCACCCCCTCT